CTATAACACAGGGCTACACTCAGGGTCCTCCTACACCACTGTCTAGGGTGGGTACTGCCTCTGGACTAACGTGCCCTATAACACAGAACTACACTCAGGGTCCTCCTACACCACTGTCTAGGGAGGGTACTGCCTCCAGGCTAACGTGCCCTATAACACAGGGCTACACTCAGGGTCCTCCGGCTATGGGTGCCTAGGGGGGAGGCCGTTCTAACTCGGCCCTAGCCACGGTTCCGAGTTCCGACCACTGACCCACTGGACGCGGCCCTCACGAGGACGTCAGGGGACCAGGGGTTCCCGGAGTCTCACGGCCGAGCCGCACAAAGTCCCCCGGCCCTGCTAAGGGCAGCGGGGGCTAGGGGGGTCTCCTATCTAGCTGGGCTTGGGCCTTCCTGTCTAGCTGCTGGTCTTAGGCTTTCGGTCTTCAACTGGTCCAGATCGACCTGGGGAGGTCCCCTTTGATGCCCCTTGCTCCATCTATGGCGCCGCCACACATCGCGTTAAAGTTATTTTGCACCGTTTTGTCGCGAACTTTGGCCAATCCACTCACGACGACGAGGACGTCGGCCGCGGTGGCCAGAAGATGTTAGCTCCCTCGCCCGGTGTGCAGGAGGTCGTGGGTTCGATACCGGCCCTGACACCCGCTGATGCCGCTGCTGTTAGCTGTTGCATATGCGGAGTTTACGTCTCGATCTCTCTCCTCGTGGGTGGCGTGGATTTCTTTCCGCCGGGGTCCTCCCTCCGTCGTTTTTCCTTAGAGACATTTAGAGACGATGTCACCGCACATTTAGAACCCACGGGCCTCATCATTGCCACACGGTGGTAATGATGAGGCCACTTCGTTGAGCTACGGTTTGCGATGGCCAGGTCGCTTTTGAGATAGAAGAGCTACATAGGCAGTTCAAGTGGTGGGGTCTTTAACAGCGTAACAATAGGCTGTACCATTTCTGTAAATAAAAACACAACCTTGTGGTGAACATGCAAACAAAAACAGGCTCTGGTAATAAGTGGCATTGCCTTTGACACTAATTGGTCTGCACCAGAGAGAGCGTCCTTCTTTAGGCCCTAGTCTCACAACCTGTGTCTCACTACCCAGTGTCTCACTACCCAGTGTCTCACTACCCAGTGTCTCACTACCCAGTGTCTCACTACCTGTGTCTCACTACCCAGTGTCTCACTACCCAGTGTCTCACTACCTGTGTCTCACTACCCAGTGTCTCACTACCCAGTGTCTCACTACCTGTGTCTCACTAGCAGTGTCTCACTACCCAGTGTCTCACTACCTAGTGTCTCACTAGCAGTGTCTGACTACCCAGTGTCTCACTACCCAGTGTCTCACTAGCAGTGTCTCACCACCAGTGTCTCACTACCAGTGTCTCACTACCCAGTGTCTCACTAGCAGTGTCTTACCACCAGTGTCTCACTACCAGTGTCTCACTACCAGTGTCTCACTAACAGTGTCTCACTACCGAGTGTCTCACCACCAGTGTCTCACTACCCAGTGTCTCACCACCAGTGTCTCACCACCAGTGTCTCACTACCAGTGTCTCACAACCTGTCCCACTACCAGTGTCTCACCACCCGTGTCTCACTAGCAGTGTCTCACTACCCAGTGTCTCACTACCCATTGTCTCACTACCAGTGTCTCACTACCCAGTGTCTCACTACCAGTATCTCACTACCCAGTGTCTCACTACCAGTGTCTCACTACCCAGTGTCTCACTAGCAATGTCTCACTACCAGTGTCTCACTACCCAGTGTCTCACTAGCAGTGTATCACCACCAGTGTCTCAGTACCAGTGTCTCACTAGCAATGTCTCACTACCAGTGTCTCACTACCAGTGTCTCACTACCCATTGTCTCACTACCAGTGTCTCACTACCAGTGTCTCACTACCCAGTGTCTCACTACCAGTGTCTCACTACCCATTGTCTCACTACCAGTGTCTCACTACCAGTGTCTCACTACTCAGTGGCTCACTACCAGTGTCTCACTACCCAGTGTCTCACTACCCAGTGTCTCACTACCAGTATCACACCACCCAATGTCTCACTACCAATGTCTCACCACCAGTCTCACTACCCAGTGTCTCACTACCCAGTGTCTCACTACCCAGTGTCTCACTACCAGTGTCTCGCCAGCAGTGTCTCACCACCAGTGTCTCACTACCCAGTGTCTCACCACACAGTGTCTCACTACCCAGTGTCTCACTACCCAGTGTCTCATTACCAGTGTCTCACCACCAGTGTCTCACCACCAGTGTCTCACCACCAGTGTCTCACTACCCTGTGTCTCACTACCCAGTGTCTCACTACCCAGTGTCTCACTACCCAGTGTCTCACTACCCAGTGTCTCATTACCAGTGTCTCACCACCAGTGTCTCACTACCAGTGTCTCACTACCCAGTGTCTCACTACCCAGTGTCTCACTACCTGTGTCTCACTAGCGGTGTCTCACTACCCAGTGTCTCACCACCAGTGTCTCACTACCCAGTGTCTCACTACCCAGTGTCTCACCACCTGTGTCTCACCACCTGTGTCTCACTACCCAGTGTCTCACTACCCAGTGTCTCACCACCAGTGTCTCACCACCAGTGTCTCATTACACAGTGTCTCACTACCCAGTGTCTCACCACCAGTGTCTCACCACCAGTGTCTCATTACACAGTGTCTCACTACCCAGTGTCTCACTACCAGTGTCTCACTACCTGTCTCGCCAGCAGTGTCTCACCACCAGTGTCTCACTACCCAGTGTCTCACCACACAGTGTCTCACTTCCCAGTGTCTCACTACCCAGTGTCTCATTACCAGTGTCTCACCACCAGTGTCTCACCACCAGTGTCTCACTACCAGTGTCTCACTACCCTGTGTCTCGCTACCCAGTGTCTCACTACCCAGTGTCTCACTACCTGTGTCTCACTACCAGTGTCTCACTACCCAGTGTCTCACTACCCAGTGTCTCACTAGCGGTGTCTCACTACCCAGTGTCTCACCACCAGTGTCTCACTACCCAGTGTCTCACTATCCAGTGTCTCACCACCTGTGTCTCACCACCTGTGGCTCACTACCCAGTGTCTCACTACCCAGTGTCTCACCACCAGTGTCTCACTACCCAGTGTCTCACCACCAGTGTCTCACTACCCAGTGTCTCACCACCAGTGTCTCATTACACAGTGTCTGACTACCCAGTGTCTCACCACCAGTGTCTCACTACCAGTGTCTCACTAGCAGCGTCTCACTACCAGTGTCTCACCACCAGTGTCTCACTACCAGCGTCTCACTACCCAGTGTTAGATGGATAAACGCAAAAAGGCGAACAACCCCCCCCAAGTTTTAACATCATTCGGCCTTCTTGGGTCCGTCGGTAAAGTCGCGTAGATAGGTTCAAAGACAATAATAAAAGTAACGGGAAGACGACCGCTTGCGTTGCGATGGAAACGTCGGAGTTTTCCGTTATCTTTGATTATTTCCTTTGAGCCTATCCACGTGGTGGCTTTACCGACGGACCCAAGAATGTGAATTCCTGCAGTCACGAAAGCTTCAAGTCAAGCAGCGTTCGGCAAGTTTAACGCAACATTTAAACGTTTCCGCGATCCGATACCCGAGCAAAAACAAACCTTCGTGGTGGAGAATGGCGGTCGTGGAATCCCCGACTGCCGCCGTCGCCGCCACCACCGAGCGTCAGGCGCTCCGTTCGCGACGGCTCTGACCACCGGCCTCCGCCTCCTCCTCCGCCTCCCTAGGTCCGCAAGGAACAGCTCCAGTACCGCTACGAGGTGCAGAAGAAGATCGGCAAGGGAGGCCAGGGCCTGGTGCTGCAGTGCCTCGACCACAAAACCAAAACGCTCGTGGCCGTCAAGATGCTGTCGATGGCCTCGCGGTGAGCCGGGAGGGCCTTCCGCGGTGGCCCGCGATTCTCGGGAAATAATCATCAAATGATCGGAGGCACCGCCGTGAAACTGCCACCAACTGTGGACTCGCCGACAAAATACTAACTGCCGTAAAACTTCTGCTAACTATAAACTAACAAAATACTAACTGACGTAAAACTGCCGCTAACTATAAACGAACAAAATACTAACTGCCGAAAAACTTCTGCTAACTATAAACTAACAAAATACTAACTGACATAAAACTTCTGCTAACTATAAACTAACAAAATGCAAACTGCAGTAAAACTGCTGCTAACTATAAACTAACAAAATACTAACTGCCGTAAAACTGCTGCTAACTATAAACTAATAAAATACTAACTGCCGTAAACCTGCTGCTAACTATGAACTAACAAAATACTAACTGCTGTAAAACTGCTGCTATGAACTAACAAAATACTAACTGCCATAAACTGCTGCTAACTATAAACTAACAAAATCTTACTGCCATAAAACTGCTGCTAACTATAAACTAACAAAATACTAACTGCCATAAAACTGCTGCTAACTATAAAACTCACAAACAAAATTTTACCGCCGTAAAACTTACTGCTAAATATCAACTAACTCACTAAATAATAACCTGCCGTAAGACTACTGCTGTGAATCAAAGTTAACCAACAGAATAATAACTGCCGTACCACTATTGCTAACTACAAACTAACAACAACAATCGCCATTGGCCACTAGGTGGCGGTGACGTCACCACGTTGCTTCTGCCAGGCCATGTGCACCTTGAGGCTACGTGAAGTGTAACCAACAGACCTATGGAGACCCACAGAGACACCCACACAGAGATACCCACAGAGACACCCACACAGAGACACCCACAGAGACACCCAGACCCACACAGAGATACCCACACAAAGATACCCACACAGAGACCCACAGAGAGCTACAGAGACACCCAGACCCACAGAGACACCCGGACCCACAGAGACACCCGGACCCACACAGAGACACCCACAGAGACACCCACACAGAGTCACCCACGCAGAGACACCCACACAGAGACACCCACACAGAGAGTCACCCACGCAGAGTCACCCACACAGAGTCACCCACACAGAGTCACCCACGCAGAGTCACCGTCATCAATTTCGCGACCTTCCACCTCCCGCTCCACAGCCCCTCGATAGCGGCCTGCCAGAGAAGGGAGCTGAAGATGGCCAAGGAGCTGCAGGGCAGGGCCAGCGATGAGCGCTACGGAGTCATCCGGGTCCTCGACACGTTCCAATTCCGCGGGCACAATTGCCTCGTCGTCGAGCTCTTGAAGTACGCGAACCTCCGCTTACCCCCACCCACCCACCCACCCCACCCACCCCACCCACCCACCCACCCCGCCCACCCACGTGCGTGTCCATTGCTCCGCTCGATGGTTTCTTTATTTCGGAATTAATATTGATTTAACGGTTAATCAAGCAACTCAATTCGTCGATTTATCACTTTGAATGAGTTTCACTCGCAGGGCTGTCGCGACCAATGTCATCCTTAATAGGTTTGGTTTGTTTTTTGGGGGGGGTTGGATCGCGTAAATGCATCAATGTCGTGTCGTGAAATCCGCCACCACCCGACACGGCCGACTAGTAAGGGTTCAGTGATGAAGGTTTTTTTGTGGATTAGATCGCCGTTATTTATAAACGTGTCGTTAACCCTCCACCACCCGACACGGCCAATCGGCAAAAATAAAGTGTCACGTTGACAAAAGGCAAAATTCGTTCACTGCTTTAGCCCACCGGTGTGTTGAAGAGTGAACCCACAACGTTTACAGCTTGTTGTCACGCAGACAGAACGTGGCAATTCGTTGGGGTCATCCTGGATTCAAGACTGAATTTTGAAGGGCACATTGATTATATTGGTAAAAAGACAAAAATAAAAGATTGGTTTTCTGTATCGACACAGGCACTGCTTACCCGCCAATGTTCCGTTTGGAATTGATGAAAGCTACCATACCGCCTCTACTTGACTACTGTGACATCGTGTATAAATCAGCCCCAAGTACTGTACTGAAGAAGCTTGATTCCATCTATCACTCGGCCTTAAGATTGACATTGAACTGCCCGTATAGGACTCACCACTGTGATCTCTACATTGGGTCAAACTGAACATCTCTTAATGTTCGACGGATTGTGCACCAGATATTATTCATTCACGATGTACTTACGAAAAAATCCGCAGACTACCTGCTGGATCTCCTCTCTGCTTCAAAGAACAAATTTGACCTAAGGTCTTCGCTCATTTACCAGCTTTCACATTCCCTATTGCCGTGCAAATACTGGAGGAAGGGCCTTTGCTATCGATGCAAAGGCCCTGCCAATAAACTGCAACTTGAATCACTGCTTATGAGATCTTCACTCAAAACTGCTCTAGAGGAGTTGTACACCCCTAGCTGCCACTGCTATTCAGTGGCCTAAAATAAAATAAAATGTTTCGCTCCGGATGACCGCTGCAAAGTATTATCTGTATTTTGATTTAGCGCGCTGATCTTAAAGGTGCATTTTAAAATGTGATACTCCGACCGATGCTCCTGCTATTGTGGAGTGACTCATGCAGCCAGCTATGGCTCTAGGGTTTGGTGGTACATGTTGTTTATGTAGTTTATTGTAAAAAAATTCGGTCACAGTTTCTATGATCACTGTTACATTGCTTTTATGACTTTATTTTGGTGATTTTGTAAACGTTTTTTTTGGTTTGGACATGTTTGTTTTGTTGTAGTACGGCGTTAGACTGACGGCCTTAATCTAAAGTTGTCTTGTGGTTGTTGTTTGACTTTGCATCCCACACTGGGATTTTTGCACGCAGCGTTGGTGGTGTGCACGGTGCTTTTTCTGGAATATTTTTGCTGTTTTTTCCCCATGGATTTTCTGTTTTGCACAGTCAACACACACAAAGTCACCTTAAGATGTTTTTCTTGGTCGTGTTTTTGGTTTTTGTTTGTTGCGGTTGCACCCGATTCAAGAGCCGGATGGCTCACGGGGCTATACCAAAATAAATGAAACTGAAACTAGTGTGTAGTGTAAAGTGTAGTGTATAGTGTAGTGTATAGTGTAGTGTAAAGTGTAGTGTGTATAGTGTAGTGTGTAGTGTAGTGTATAGTGTAGTGTATAGTAGTGTGTAGTGTATAGTGTAGTGTGTAGTGTATAGTGTAGTGTGTAGTGTAGTGTATAGTGTAGTGTACAGTGTAGTGTAGTGTAAAGTGTAGTGTGTAGTAGTGTAGTGTGTAGTAGTGTATAGTGTAGTGTACAGTGTAGTGTATAGTAGTGTGTAGTGTAGTGTAAAGTGTAGTGTGTAGTAGTGTAGTGTATAGTAGTGTAGTGTATAGTGTAGTGTATAGTGTAGTGTAGTGTATAGTAGTGTAGAGTGTAGTGTATAGTGTAGTGTGTAGTGTAAAGTGTAGTGTGTAGTAGTGTAGTGTATAGTGTAGTGTATAGTGTAGTGTACGTTACATGTTTTTGTTTATTATTTATTGTTTTATATTTTTATTATTTTATTGTTTTCCTTCTACTACGCGGGGGTGACTTTACCGAAAGAACCAAGAATAATAATTTTATTGTTTTACAATAATTTAATTGTTTTATATTTTTATTATTTTATTGTTTCCCTATCTACGTGGTGGTGACTTTACCGAAAGAACCAAGAATAATAATTTTATTGTTTTACAATAATTTTATTGTTTTATATTTTTATTATTTTATTGTTTCCCTTCTACTACGTGGTGACTTTACCAAAAGAACCAAGAATATGAATCCCTGCAGTCACGAAAGCTTTAAATCGAAAAATCACTAAACTATAAACTATTTTTATTTTTCTATTTAAAGCTTTCGCGACTGCAGCTATTCATATTATTGGTTGTTTCGGTAAAGTCACCGCCACGTAGATAGGGGAAACAAAAAAATAATAAAAATATAAAACAATAAAATTATTATTCTTGGTTCTTTCGGTAAAGCCACCGCCGTCACGTAGATAGGGAAACAATAAAATAATAAAAATATAAAACAATAAAATTATTGTAAAACAATAAAATTATTATTCTTGGTTCTTTCGGTAAAGTCACCGCCACGTAGATAGGGGAATAATAAAATATATAAAATATATAAAACAATAAAATTATTGTAAAACAATAAAATTATTGTAAAACAATAAAATTATTATTCTTGGTTCTTTCGGTTAAAGTCACCACCATGTATTTACGTATCTACGTGGCGGTGACTTTAACCGAAAGAACCAAGAATAATAATTACATAGGGAAACAATGAAAATAATCAAATATATATAAACAATAAAATTCCCACGACGTTTCGACCGCAACGCAAGCAGTCATCATCAGGTGCGAAATCCAACGGCAAGAAACATTTTAAAGGAGTGGCGCTTTGTGTTTATTTATTTTTAAACGTTAGCACCACGGAGAGCGATTTGACAGTTTGTTTAGATGGACGCAGGAAGTCCTCGCGATTCAACGGAAACGCTCCCCACGAATTACACGTTCAAATTTTTTTTTAAAATATATATAATATAGTAATAAAATATTTCCACTGAAAGGTTAGTGAGAAAATTATGAAATGATACATTATTAATAGGTGGGTAATGATGCAACACAAAAAAATAACGCGTGATAAGATGGTAATAAAATGACGGAACAATTGTAAAACAGCAACGAGGATATTGTGATGAAATAAAAATATACCGCTCGTAGAAATCAAAATCGTGAAACGCTGATAATAAAGCAATAATGAAAATAATGCGTTGATTAAATTGCGATGAAATCGTAGCGATAAAACGATGGTGACAAAATAATAAATTATTCTTAGTTCTTTCGGTAAAGTCACGTTGAAGGGAAACAATAAAATAATAAAATATACATAAAACAATTAAAAAAATATTGTATAAAAATAATTGTATTAAAAAAAAATTTTTAATTGTTTTATATATTTTATTATTTTATTGTTTCCCTTCAACGTGACTTTACCGAAAGAACTAAGAATATGAATTACTGCAGTCATGAAAGCTTTAAATAAAAAAATTATAAAATAGTTGAAATTACAATAAAATCATTAAATCATTATATTCTTGGTTCTTTCGGTAAAGTCACCACGTTGAAAGGGAAACAATAAAAACTATAAAAATATATATACACGTAAAACAATAAAACTCTCACGACGTCACTTTACCGAAAGAACCAACAATATGAATCACTGCCAGTCACGAAAGCTTCAAATAGAAATTTAACGAAATCACCGTCGTAAAATACTCAACGTCGTTTTGTGGGCGTTGGCTCCGTCAGCGCAAGCAGTGGGGCGTGGCGAGGCCGCGGATGAACACCGGCGGAGCGACGAGGCTTTACACCACCCCCCCCCAACCCCCCCGCAAAACTAACCAAGTGGTACAGTCCGTTTGGGGCCCTGCGGACGTCATCGGAACGGCAAAGGGGTTTTTATTTAACGTCGTCGTTGTTGTCGTTGTGGCCTCAGGAGGAGCCTCAAAGACGTCGTGAGAAAAGGGAGCGCCGGGCGGATCTACCCGAGGCGTCTGAGGGAGTACACCGGGGCCATCCTCGACTTCCTGCTGTACGCCAAGGGGCGGGGCGTCGTCCACGCGGACATCAAGCCGGTGAGCGGGGGGCGGGCCGCGGTGGTGGCCACCTCCCGCCGGGGCGCTCGCTCGGCTGGCGCGGAGGCGGCCACCCCCGGGGCCCACGGTCGACCCGCGGGGGGGTCGACCGTGGGCCCCGTCCGTCTGTGGGTCTCTGTGTGGGTCTCGATGAGTATGGGTCTCTGTGGGTCTCTGTGTGAGTCTCTATGAGTATGGGTCTCTGTGGGTCTCTATGAGTATGGGTCTCTATGAGTATGGGTCTCTGTGGGTCTCTATGAGTATGGGTCTCTATGAGTATGGGTCTCTGTGTGGGTCTCTATGAGTATGGGTCTCTGTGGGTCTCTATGAGTATGGGTCTCTGTATGTGTCTCTATGAGTATGGGTATCTGTGGGTCTATGGGTCTCTATGAGTATGGGTCTCTGTAGGTCTGTATGGGTCTCTATGAGTATGGGTCTCTGGGTGTGTATGGGTCTCTATGAGTATGGGTCTCTGTGTGTCTGTATGTGTCTCTATGAGTATGGGTCTCTGTGGGTCTATGGGTCTCTATGAGTATGGGTCTCTGTAGGTCTGTATGTGTCTCTATGAGTATGGGTCTCTGGGTGTGTATGGGTCTCTATGAGTATGGGTCTCTGTGTGTCTGTATGTGTCTCTATGAGTATGGGTCTCTGTAGGTCTGTATGGGTCTCTATGAGTATGGGTCTCTGGGTGTGTATGGGTCTCTATGAGTATGGGTCTGTATGGGTCTCTGTGTGTCTGTATGTGTCTCTATGAGTATGGGTCTCTGTGGGTCTGTATGGATCTCTGAGTATGGGTCTCTGTGGGTCAGTATGTGTCTCTGTGGGTCTGTATGGGTCTCTATGGGCCTGTTGAAACACGTGTTTAGAGTGTTTGGCTGCTGTGATAAATGTCCATGCGATGATGATGCTGCTGCTGATGATGCACATGATGATATCAGCCACTTGGTTGAGCTGCTCTCATTACGTGATGGCCAGGTCGTGTCTGATGAAAGAGCTTCACAGCAGCTCTGCCGGGCCCTTACACCCTGATAGTGAAGTAAAAATAGGTTTTGTGGTTTCTTAAAACGACTTCGAACGGCAACACAAGCGATCTTGATCAGGTGTAAAAAGTAACAAATCACGGAGGTAAATACAACAAGAAGATGAGAGACGAGAATTCAACACAGCTAAGAAAAAAATCACGCGAAGCACAACCATCTTCTTTGGTTCTTTCGGTAAAGTCACCAGGTAGAATGAGAATAAAATAATAAAATAACACGATAAAATTCTCACGACGTTTCGGCCACAACGCAAGCGGCCGTCTTCAGGTGAAAGGTACGGACCCGTCGGGACGACAGAGCTTCAATGAACGATGTTAAGATTCGTAGCGACTTTTAAGCTGGTTGGGAGAAGTCGCTACGAATCTTAACATCGTTCATTGAAGCTCTGTCGTCCCGACGGGTCCGTACCTTTCACCTGAAGACGGCCGCTTGCGTTGTGGCCGAAACGTCGTGAGAATATTATTGTGTTATTTTATTTTATCAATGTATTATTTTAGTCTCATTCTACATGACTTTACCGAAAGAACCAAAGAAGATGAATCCATGCAGTCACGAAAGCTTTAAATAGAAGCACGACCAGTCAGGCCAACAACACAGTTAGACACTTACCTGGCGAACCACGAAATTTAACACTCTTCTGAAATTCGTGGTCCACCAGGTAAGTGTCTAACTGTGTTGTTGACCTGACTGGTTGTGCTTCACGTAATGTTTTTTCCTAGGTTTGTTGAATTCTCGTCTCTCATATTCTTGTTGTATTTACCTCCGTGATTTGTTTTTTTTACTTTACACCTGATGAGGATCGCTTGTGCTGTGCGTCGAAACGTCGCGATTGATTTATTTCAATATAATTTTACGGTATTCCTACACACGTGACTTTACCGGAAAAAAACAACGAGCGATTTACACGGTCACGAAAGCTTTAATTCTTCATTGACTTCGAACGGGTCTCAGGCACGTGGCCCGTGTCACAAGTCGGGGTGGGGGGTGGGGTGGGGCGGGGAGGGCTGCCCGTGTGGGTGTAAATGCGTCACCTCGCGTGATCGACCCACTGCTGGCTGGACGCTCCTGCCGTAACCTCCGAGCGTGGAATCCCTTCCCCCGTCTCTGCTCTTTGTTCCAGGACAACATTCTGCTCACCGCGGACGGCAAAGTGAGGGTCAACGACTTCGGATGCAGCTTCTACCTGAAGTATAAAAGTGAGCGAGTGGGGCTTTTGCGTGCGTGGAGTTTTATATATATATATATTTTTTGCTCGGGGGTTATCTCGCGTCAACGTCATCGTTGCGTTTGTAATTCTAGACTTGAAGCTTTCGTGACTGCAAGGATCCATACTCTTTGGTTCTATTCGGTAAAGTCACGTAGGTAAAAAAAATAAAACAACAAAAATCACGACGTTTCGGCCACAACACAAGCGGCCTTCATCAGGTGAAGGGACCAGGTTGTCTGGAGGACAGCGCTGGAGTGGAACACAGCCACGCTCAGACCGCGGACCTTTAAGCTGTGTGCGAGGAAACAAGGTGCCTTGACAAAGGAATTAGCATAACAAATTAGCATTTGATTGGCCGACTTAGCATAGAGGTGGTGTACGTGCGGGTGCACATACCGGTTGGCGCGAGACAGCCTGATCCCTTCACCTGATGAAGGCCGCTTGTGTTGTGGCCGAAACGTCGTGATTTTCGTCGTTTTATTTTTTTACCTACTACGTGACTTTACCGAACAGAACCAAAGAGTACGGATCCTTGCAAGTCACGAAAGCTTTAAATCTAGAAATGCAAACGTTGTTTTGAATTGGAATTAAGAAAGTCAAGCCAGGTCGCGTCCTTTAAGCCGATAGAACACCTAAAGTGCAGCCAGCCGGTGAGGTTCAGCGTCACGCGGGCGGGACGCGGCCAATCGATTCGTCGCTTGCACAGCGGTAACCGGTGCGCTGGAGTTGTAAACCCGCTACGACGTTTACAATTCGAGCGCTTGCAGCCGAGCATCATCATCATCGTCATCATCATCGTCATCATCATCGTCATCATCGTCATCATCATCATCGTCATCATCGTCATCGGGCGGGCAGCCAGAGTACGCGGTCCAACCCGAAAAAAAAACACTCGCCATCCGCCGTGACGTATCGGTCGCAGAAGCCGACCACGCATTTAACCGACCGAAGGAAAAAACTGTTCCACCCGCGTCGCTGTTGACGGAGGGACCACTTTGTAGTCATCGTTGTCGTCGTTGTTGTCGTCGTTGTTGTTGTTGTTGTTGCTCAGCCCAAACCGTGGGCGGGACGTTGCCCTACATGGCCCCGGAGCTGCTGCTGGGCTACCGTGTCACCTGCGCCGTGGACATGTGGGCCCTGGGCTGCACTGTGGCCGAGTTGGCCACCGGCAAGGTGCTCTTCAATTCACAGACCTACAAAGACCACCTGCACCGCTGCATCGAGGTACGGGCGGGTGGGTGGGTACGGTGGGTATGGTGGGTTGGTACGGTGGGTATGGTGGGTGGGTACGGTTGGTATGGCGGGTGGGTACGGTGGGTATGGTGGGTGGGTACGGTGGGTACGGTGGGTCTGTATGGTGGGTGAGCGGGCGGGCAGGTCTCTATGGGTACGGGTCTCTGTGGGTCTGCACAGAGACCCATACTCATAGAGACCCCGTAAAGACCCACAGAGAACCATACTCATAGAGTTGTATCCCTCCCACAGCCACAAACACCAGCGAGGAATATCCGAACTGGTCCTGGGCCTCTCGTAGGTTGAGTCAGCCTCAAACGAGTACCTGGCGTAGCGGTGTGTAGTAAACATTTTATACTGGGGGAGACAAAGGTGGCCGGGCGTGGCGCTGGGCACCCACCCCCTCGTGTGCCGTTCCGGCCTTCATAGGTGCCGCTCGCTACTAGCAGCGCTTGCCCCAGCGATGAGATGAGGCTAATACGTGGAGCGGGGGAATTGATGTCTCTTTGTACACAGTGCCGGCCTTCATAGGTGCTGCTCGCTGCTAACAGCACTTTCCCCAAGCAATCAGAGAAGGCTAAGACTAGGAGGGAGGGGATTGTTATACTGGTAGGAACGAAGTTGTAAACTGAGTGTACCAGCCTGCAATAGATTAATGTGTCCGTCCGTCCGTCCCCTTTCAATACTTTAACAAAGTGAAATCTCGTGCTGTTGGGGTGTAAAATAAAATTGCGCAAAATTCCAATGTTCCTACCAGCCCACCCTGCAGGGACCTGTTCTTTGGCCACAGTGCTGGCCTCCACACGAGCTGCCTCCGCCACTACTCACCGCTGACTGACGGCACTTGCCCCAATGGGCCCGCTGAGGCTACACCGGCTGTAACTGTCCCCCCCGCCTCCTCCTCCTCCTCCTCTACCTCCTCCTCTTTTTGTCTTCGTCGGAAATCGTGCGCAGATGCTGGGCATGCCCCCGAAGAAGATGGTGGACGAAGCCCCTTACAGGAAAAATTACTTTGGTGAGTTGAAGGGCTCGGGCAGGCTGACGCTAGCGATGTAACCCATTCCGTTTTGTTAGGTGGGGTGGGGGGGGTGGTGGCAGTGAGGCTCTTATAGGGGTGGGTGGGTGGGTGAGTGAGAGGGTGGGTGAGTGTGTATGTAGGTGGGGTGAGTGGGTGTGTAGGTGGATAGGAAGGTGGGTGGTTAAGTGGATGAGTGGGTATGTAAGTGGGTGAGTGGGTGTGTAGGTGGATAGGAAGGTGGGTGGTTAAGTGGATGAGCGGGGTGTGTAAGTGGGGTGAGTGGGTGTGTAGGTGGATAGGAAGGTGGGTGGTTAAGTGGGTGAGTGGGTATGTAAGTGGGGTGAGTGGGTGTGTAGGTGGATAGGAAGGTGAGTGGATAAAGTGGATGAGTGGGTATGTAAGTGGGTGAGTGGGTGTGTAGGTGGATAGGAAGGTGGGTGGTTAAGTGGGTGAGTGGGTATGTAAGTGGGGTGAGTGGGTGTGTAGGTGGATAGGAAGGTGGGTGGTTAAGTGGATGAGCGGGTATGTAAGTGGGGTGAGTGGGTATGTAGGTGGATAGGAAGGTGGGTGGTTAAGTGGATGAGTGGGTATGTAAGTGGGTGAGTGGGTGTGTAGGTGGATAGGAAGGTGGGTGGTTGTGGGTGAGTGGGTGAGTGGGTATGTGAGTGGGTGAGTGGGTGAGTGGGTACGTAAGTGGGTGAGTGGGTGTGTAGGTGGATAGGAAGGTGGGTGGTTAAGTGGATGAGTGGGGTGTGTAAGTGGGGTGAGTGGGTGTGTAGGTGGATAGGAAGGTGGGTGGTTAAGTGGGTGAGCGGGGTCTGTGGGCCACGTGGTGGTTGGTGACTCTGCGCGCGTCTCTCTGTCTCTCTGTCTCTCTGGAGACTCTGAGGGACTCCCCGACAACCTGTCCAAGCTGAGGCCACCGGGAAGTATCCCCCTGCACCGCGTTCTGTGGGGCCGTCACCCTCAGCTGGTGGACTTCGTCAGCCGCTGTCTGCAGTACGAAGCACGCTCACCCTCTCGCTCACCCTCTCGCTCACCCTCTCGCTCACCCTCTCGCTCACCCTCTCGCTCACCCTCTCGCTCACCCTCTCGCTCACCCTCTCGCTCACCCCCCCGCTCACCACCCCATACCTGTCAACAGCTTATCGGTGCCCTGCCTCGCTGCAGACCCAATTTCAGAACTCATCGGTCACCCCCCGTGCCCCCTTATAAATCTCAGCGTTCATCCTACAAAGTCCCATCGCAAGGGAGAAACACAAACACAAATGGACACGAATTTTTTTGTTGTTGCTGCCCGAATTGAAACGGTTGCACTGTCAAATCATCTCACCATGCCCCTCTCACCACGTGTGCGCCTCCCCCCTCCCTCCTTCCCTCCCTCCTTCCCTCCCTCCCTCCCCGTGTCCCTCCCAACAGATGGGATCCGAAACTCCGGATGACGCCTAAGAAGGCGCTGGCTCACAGCTGGCTCCAAACCATCATCACCACCACCACCACCACCACGAGCAGCACCCCCACCACCAGCAGGGCCACGCCCACCACCAGCAAGGCCACTCCCACCGCCAGCAAGGCCACTCCCACCGCCAGCAGGGCCACTCCCACCGCCAGCAAGGCCACTCCCAACGCCAGCAAGGCCACTCCCACCGCCAGCAAGGCCACGCCCACCGCCAGCAGGGCCACTCCCACCGCCAGCAAGGCCACTCCCAACGCCAGCAAGGCCACTCCCAACGCCAGCCAGGCCACTCCCACCGCCAGCAGGGCCACCCCCACAACCAGCAGGGCCACTCCCACCGCCAGCAGGGCCACCCCCACCGCCAACAAGGCCACGCCCACCGCTAGCAGGGCCACGCCCACCACCAGCAGGGCCACGCCCACCACCAGCAGGGCCACTCCCACCGACAGCAAGGCCACTCCCACCGCCAGCAAGGCCACTCCCACCGCCAGCAAGGCCACCCCCACCACCAGCAGGGCCACGCCCACCACCAGCAGGGCCACGTCCACCACCAGTAGGGCCACGCCCACCACCAGCAGGGCCACCCCCACCACCAGCAGGGCCACTCCCACCCACACCGAGGCCACCCCCACCCACACCGAGGCCACCCCCACCCACACCGAGGCCACCCCCACCACCAGCGAGGCCACCCCCACCACCAGCGAGGCCACCCCCACCACCAGCGAGGCCACCCCCACCACCAGCGAGGCCACCCCCACCACCACCGAGGCCACCCCCACCCACACCGAGGCCACCCCCACCCACACCGAGGCCACCCCCACCCCCACCGAGGCCACCCCCACCCACACCGAGGCCACTCCCACCGCCAGCAGGGCCACCCCCACCACCACCGAGGCCACCCCCACCCACACCGAGGCCACCCCCACCCACACCCCGGCCACCCCCACCGCCAGCAAGGCCACGCCCACCACCAGCAGGGCCACTCCCACCGCCAGCAAGGCCACGCCCACCGCCAGCAAGGCCACTCCCACCGCTAGCAAGGCCACCCCCACCACCAGCAGGGCCACGCCCACTGCCAGCAGGGCCACTCCCACCACCAGCAGGGCCACTCCCACCGCCAGCAAGGCCACTCCCACCGCCAGCAAGGCCACGCCCACCACCAGCAGGGCCACTCCCACCGCCAGCAGGGCCACCCCCACCACCAGCAGGGCCACCCACACCACCAGCAGGGCCACCCCCACCACCAGCAGGGCAACCCCCCACCACCAGTAGGGCCACCCTCACCACCAGCAGGGCCACCCACACCACCAGTAGGGCCACCCACACCTAGGCCACCCCCACCACCAGCGAGGCCACCCCCACCCACACCGAGGCCACCCCCACCACAAGCGAGGCCACCCACACCGAGGCCACCCCCACCACCAGCGAGGCCACCCCCACCCACACCGAGTCCACCCCCACCACCAACGAGGCCACCCCCACCACCATCGAGACCACCCCCACTACCAGCGAGGCCACGCCCACCACCAGCGAGGCCACCCCCACCAACACCGAGGCCACCCCCACCGCCAGCGAGGCCACACCCACCGCCAGCGAGGCCACGCCCACCGCCAGCGAGGCCACCCCCACCACCAGCGAGGCCACCACCAGCAGGGCCTCCCCCACCACCGCCACCACCACTCCCATCATCATCTACATCCGGCCCATCACCATCAACTGGGCCACCACCAGCAGCTGGGCCACCACCACCACCACCATCCGGGCCACCACCACCAGCTGGGCCGACACCACCAGCTGGGCCACCACCACCATCAGCAGCAGCGGCGGCACCACTCCTGTGCAGGGCTCTGCAGCTGCTGAGCCACAGTGAGCCTCTCTCTCTGTGTACCTTGCCTGGTACGCAGGAGGTTGTGGGTTCAATCCCGACCCTGATGAGATGTTAACTACCTCGCCTGGTACACAGGAGGTCGTGGGTTCAATCCTGACCCTGATGAGATGTTAACTACCTCGCCTGGTACGCAGGAGGTCGTGGGGTCGATCCCGACTGACGATGCCTGGCTGCTGCTGCTGCTGTATATTTGCAGTCTGCGTCTCTCTCTTTCTCTCATCATCATCACGGTGGCTAGGAGATGTTAACTCCCTTGCCTGGTACGCAGGAAGTCGTGGGCTCGATATCATCACGGTGATGATGACGATGATGACGACGATGACGACGATGATGACGATGATGATGATGATGGTGATGACGATGATGACGATGATGATGCGCTGCTGTGGTGCTGCTGCTTCTCTCCACAGAGCGGAGCCGGAGGAGAAGCTCCAATCACCATCGCCGTCATCATCGCCGTCATCACCATCATCATCATCGCCATCGTCATCATCACCGCTCACCACCGTGGGCCCAGCTGTGGCAGAAGCCTGATGAGAGGACGCCAGAACTGATACCGAGATTGGACTGGACACCACACTCACCACCGTCACCACACTTACCACACTCACCACCCACACTCACCACCCACACTCACCACACTTACCACACTCACCACCCACACTCACCACCGTCACCACACTTACCACACTCACCACCCACACTCACCACCGTCACCACACTTACCACACTCACCACCCACACTCACCACCCACACTCACCACCGTCACCACACTTACCACACTCACCACCCACACTCACCACCCACACTCACCACACTTACCACACTCACCACCCACACTCACCACACTTACCACACTCACCACCCACACTCACCATACTTACCACCCACACTCACCAGACTCACCACACTCACCACCCACACCACCCACACTCACCACCCACACTCACTACACTCACCACCCACACTCACCACCCACACTCACCACCCACACTCACCACCCACACAACACTCACACTCACCACACTCACCACCCACACTCACCACCCACACTCACCACCCACACTCACCACACTCACCACCCACACTCACCACCCACACTCACCACACTCACCACCCACACGCACCACCCACACGCACCACCCACACTCACCACACTCACCACCCACACTCACCATACTCACCACCCACACCACCCACACTCACCACCCACACTCACCACACTCACCACCCACACTCACCACACCCACCACACTCACACTCACCACACTCACCACCCACACTCACCACCCACACTCACCACCCACACTCACCACCCACACTCACCACCCACACAACACTCACACTCACCACCCACACTCACCACCCACACTCACCACACTCACCACCCACACTCACCACCCACACTCACCACCCACACTCACCACCACACTCACCACACCACACACACTCACCACACTCACCACCCACCACACTCACCACCCACACTCACCACCCACACTCACCACCCACACTCACTACCCACACTCACCACCCACACTCACCACCCACACAACACTCACACTCACCACCCACACTCACCACACAATGGACTACAGCTTGCCTAGCCACGCGCGCGTGTGAAGAGTTAGGATAGAGATATTATAAATAAGTTATAATGTAATCATGTGTACATATATATCTAGACATTTGTTTGATTATCGATTGTTGTTAATAAATAAGCGGACTCAACATAACGTTGCAATTGTGTTTGTTGTGGCGAGTTGCTGCTGCCTGGGTCTAAGGTGACTTGGGTTCAGATGTTGACTACCTCGCCTGGTACGCAGGAGGTCGTGGGTTCGATCCCGACCCTGACGAGATGTTGACTACCTCGCCTGGTACGCAGGAGGTCGTGGGTTCGATCCCGACCCTGACGAGATGTTAACTACCTCGCCTGGTACAGAGGAGGTCGTGGGTTCCATCCCGACCCTGACGATGCCTGCTGCTGCTGCTGTATTCGAAGTCTGCCCAGCTCTGTGTCTCATCAGCAGAAGCAAGAGACAGGCTCTGCTTGAACCAATGGTGGTGAACTGCCCAGGTGTTTGTCGTCAGATGCACCTAGCCTGGCACAGCAGTACAACCCATGGCACCCGCTGCGTCTGTCCCGTGACCTCCTCCTGCACCTAGCCTGGCACAGCAGTCAACCCATGGCACCTGCTGGGTCTGTCACGTGACCTGCCAGCAGCGACCCTTTGACACTTCACGTGGCCTCAGAGTGCATGCACCTAGCCAATACAAAGCGCCGTGGTGACGTCACAAGGGGGGCACGTCACTGAGTTGCATTGAATGAGTTCTGCACGGACGGCTTACCTAACCTATCCACACTACAAATTGCAATCATTCACTGGCTACTCCCATAGACTTCTATAGGATTTACGTCAGCCTTTCCGCCACATTTCCTACATGACATAAGCACCTTTACTTATCCACACAGCCCCGTGGTGACCAAGAGCGGCTACCTGGACCTCTCTCTCCCCACCACCCACCCACCACCCACCCACCGTGGTGACCAAGAGCGGCTACCTGAACCTCTCTCTCCCCACCACCCACCCACCACCCACCCACCATGGTGACCAAGAGCGGCTACCTGAACCTCTCTCTCCCCACCACCCCCCAACCCACCCACCACCCACCGTGGTGACCAAGAGCGGCTACCTGAACCTCTCCCCACCACCCACCCACCACCCACCCACCGTGGTGACCAAGAGCGGCTACCTGAACCTCTCTCTCCCCACCACCCACCCACCACCCACCCACCGTGGTGACCAAGAGCGGCTACCTGAACCTCTCCCCACCACCCACCCACCACCCACCCACCGTGGTGACCAAGAGCGGCTACCTGAACCTCTCTCTCCCCACCACCCACCCACCACCCACCCACCGTGGTGACCAAGAGCGGCTACCTGAACCTCTCCCCACCACCCACCCACCACCCACCCACCGTGGTGACCAAGAGCGGCTACCTGAACCTCTCTCTCCCCACCACCCACCCACCACCCACCCACCGTGGTGACCAAGAGCGGCTACCTGAACCTCTCCCCACCACCCACCCACCACCCACCCACCGTGGTGACCAAGAGCGGCTACCTGAACCTCTCTCTCCCCACCACCCACCCACCACCCACCCACCGTGGTGACCAAGAGCGGCTACCTGAACCTCTCCCCACCACCCGCCCACCACCCACCCACCTTGGTGACCAAGAGCGGCTACCTGAACCTCTCTCTCCCCACCACCCACCCACCACCCACCCACCGTGGTGACCAAGAGCGGCTACCTGAACCTCTCTCTCCCCACCACCCACCCACCACCCACCCACCGTGGTGACCAAGAGCGGCTACCTGAACCTCTCTCTCCCCACCACCCACCCACCACCCACCCACCGTGGTGACCAAGAGCGGCTACCTGAACCTCTCCCCACCACCCACCCACCACCCACCCACCGTGGTGACCAAGAGCGGCTACCTGAACCTCTCTCTCCCCACCACCCACCCACCACCCACCCACCGTGGTGACCAAGAGCGGCTCCCAGAACCTCTCTCTCCCCACCACCCACCCACCACCCACCCACCGTGGTGACCAAGAGCGGCTCCCTGAACCTCTCTCTCCCCACCACCCACCCACCACCCACCCACCGTGGTGACCAAGAGCGGCTACCTGAACCTCTCTCTCCCCACCACCCACCCACCACCCACCCACCGTGGTGACCAAGAGCGGCTACCTGAACCTCTCTCTCCCCACCACCCGCCCACCACCCACCCACCGTGGTGACCAAGAGCGGCTCCCTGAACGAGTCCCCAGCGGGCGTCTGGACCCGCCGCTGGCTGTGCGTGCGGTGGCCGTTTGAGCTCCTCACCAACGCGGAGAGCGACCGCTGTGAGCGTGGGGCCCTGGACCTCCGGGCTGCACGGGGGGGGGAGGGGTGGAGTGGGGGGGGAGGGGTGAGAGTTGAGGGGGAGAGGAGAGGGGGAGAGAGAGGTGACGGGGGGAGATTGGCGAAAGATGGAGTGTAATGGTTTTCTCACCCCCCCCCTCACCCCCCCCTCACCCCCCCTCACCCCCCCCCACCCAGACCCCGTTCACGTTTGTGCTCTGCACACAGCACCGCGGGCTGCTGCTGCAGGCCTCCAGCTCCCGCGACCTGCAGGATTGGCTCTACACATTCAACCCCCTGGCCGCGGGGACTTACAGGTGGACTCACGGGGGTGGAATCACGGGGGTGGACTCACGGGGGGACTTACAGGTGGACTCACGGGGGTGGACTCACGGAAGGGGTGGACTAACGGTGAGAGACTCACGGGGAGAGACTCACGGGAGTGGACTCACGGGGAGAGACTCACGGTGAGGGTCTCACGGTGAGAGACTCACGGGGGTGGACTCACGGGGGGAGACTCACGGTGAGAGACTCACGGGGGGAGACTCACGGTGAGAGACTCACGGGGGTGGACTCACGGTGAGAGACTCACGGTGAGAGACTCACGGGGGGAGACTCACGGTGAGAGACTCACAGGGGTGGACTCACGGTGAGAGACTCACGGGGGTGGACTCACGGTGAGAGACTCACGGTGAGAGCTCACGGGGGGAGACTCACGGGGGTGGACTCACGGGGGTGGACTCACGGTGAGAGACTCACGGTGAGAGGCTCACGGTGAGAGACTCACGGGGGTGGACTCACGGTGAGAGACTCACGGTGAGAGACTCACGGGGGGAGACTCACGGTGAGAGACTCACGGTGAGAGACTCACGGTGAGGGACTCACGGGGGGAGACTCACGGGGGGAGACTCACGGTGAGAGACTCACGGTGAGAGACTCACGGGGGTGGACTCACAGGGGAGAGACTCACGGTGAGAGACTCACGGTGAGAGACTCACGGGGGTGGACTCACAGGGGAGAGACTCACGGTGAGAGACTCACGGTGAGAGACTCACGGTGAGAGACTCACGGGGGTGGACTCACAGGGGAGAGACTCACGGTGAGAGACTCACGGTGAGAGACTCACGGTGAGAGACTCACAGTGAGAGTCTCACGGTGAGAGACTCACGGTGAGAGACTCACGGGGGGAGACTCACGGTGAGAGACTCACGGTGAGAGACTCACGGTGAAAGACTCACGGTGAGTGACTCACGGTGAGAGACTCACGGGTGGAGACTCACGGTGAGAGACTCACGGGGAGAGACTCACGGGGGTGGACTCACGGGGGTGGACTCACGGTGAGAGACTCACGGTGAGAGACTCACGGTGAGAGACTCACGGTGAGAGACTCACGGGGGGAGACTCACGGTGAGAGACTCACGGTGAGAGACTCACGGTGAGAGACTCACGGTGGGAGACTCACGGGAAGGGACTCACAGGGGAGAGACTCACGGTGAGAGACTCACGGTGAGAGACTCACGGGGGTGGACTCACAGGGGAAAGACTCACGGTGAGAGACTCACGGTGAGAGACTCACGGGGGTGGACTCACAGGGGAGAGACTCACGGTGAGAGACTCACGGTGAGAGACTCACGGGGGTGGACTCACAGGGGAGAGACTCACGGTGAGAGACTCACGGTGAGAGACTCACGGTGAGAGACTCACGGTGAGAGACTCACAGTGAGAGTCTCACGGTGAGAGACTCACGGTGAGAGACTCACGGGGGGAGACTCACGGTGAGAGACTCACGGTGAGAGACTCACGGTGAAAGACTCACGGTGAGTGACTCACGGTGAGAGACTCACGGGGGGAGACTCACGGTGAGAGACTCACGGGGAGAGACTCACGGGGGTGGACTCACGGGGGTGGACTCACGGTGAGAGACTCACGGTGAGAGACTCACGGTGAGAGACTCACGGTGAGAGACTCACGGGGGGAGACTCACGGTGAGAGACTCACGGTGAGAGACTCACGGTGAGAGACTCACGGTGAGAGACTCACGGTGGGAGACTCACGGGAGTGGACTCACAGGGGAGAGACTCACGGTGAGAGACTCACGGGGGGAGACTCACGGTGAGAGACTCACGGTGAGAGTCTCCCGGGGGGGGACTCACGGGGGTGGACTCACGGGGGGAGACTCACGGGGGTGGACTCACGGTGAGAGACTCACGGTGAGAGACTAACGGTGAGAGACTCACGGGGGTGGACTCACGCCAGAACAGTGACGAGACCCGCTGTGGTCTAGCCCCCTCTGAACTCTCTCTGTGACCCCCCCCCCACCCACCCCAGGTCCAAGATGGGCAGCCGCCGTCGCTCCAGCGACTTCTCCACCTGAGGCGGCCCCTCCCCCAACCCCCCTAACCCCGCCCCCAAACACTAACCCCGCCCTAGACTCCCCTGGCCCCGCCTCCAAACACTAACCCCGCCCTTAACCCCGATGGCCACTCCCCCAAACACTAACCCCGCCCTAGACTCCCCTGGCCCCGCCTCCAAACACTAACCCCGCCCTTAACCCCGATGGCCACTCCCCCAAACACTAACCCCGCCCTAGACTCCCCTGGCCCCGCCTCCAAACACTAACCCCGCCCTTAACCCCGATGGCCCCTCCCCCAAACACTAACCCCGCCCTAGACTCCCCTGGCCCTGCCTCCAAACACTAACCCTGCCCTTAACCCCGATGGCCCCTCCCCCAAACACTAACCCCGCCCTAGACTCCCCTGGCCCTGCCTCCAAACACTAACCCTGCCCTTAACCCCGCCCTTAACCCCGATGGCTCCTCCCCCAAACACCAACCCCGCCCTCGACTCCCCTGGCCCCTCCCTCAAACACTAACCCCGCCCTCAACTCCCCCGGCCCCTCCCCCAAACACTGACTCCACCCTCAACTCCCAGAGCCCCTCTCCTAACCCCGCCCTCAACTCCCCTGGCCCTTCCCTGAAACACTAGCCCCACCCTCAACTCCCCTAGCCCCTCCCCTAAACAGTAGCCCCACCCCCCTAACTATCCTAGTCACGCCCCCACAAACTTTAGGTCCGCCCTTAAACTGCTAGCCCCGCCCCTATACTGTTAGGCCCCGCCCCCTGCGCGATATGGGAGTCTCGGGGT